ATATCCCCTCCCTCCTGGTCAACATTCCATATTGCAAGCAACAAATTGTTTTTACCTCCCTATAAAATAAAACAAGGAGGGTCTACAGTCTGACAGGTACCACGAACACATGCCCTCTGAATGCAGATGCAGGTTTTGCTCTTTAAATCGCTCTCCAACATTGTAATGCCCATACATCCTCGAGAGGATCATTTACACACTTTGATGGTACAATCTCTGCCAGTCACTATCAGTCATGCTGGTAACATGAGTGGAGACAATCAGAGAAACGGTTGGTGGATCACTGTGAGAGTGACAGATATTCATATTGATTTCAGGCAGAGCCCATCGTGTAGACCCTTATGAGAAAAGTACAGTAAAAAGCCCAATAAATCACAGGGCCATCCATCACACAGCCTACCTGTTTTATAACATTGAAGTGGTGGCTGTGTGTTGTGCATCCTTAGATGAAGAATTTACACAAAATGTGAATTATATATGTTTATAAATATATCAAATGTGGAATGTGAAATCACAGTTTCTGTCATCATTTCAAATTAAAACTAAGTGTGTTTGTGTGTCTGTGTGTGTGTGTGTGTGTGTGTGTGTGTGTGTGTGTGTGTGTAATTCAGGCCTGAAGGGAGGGCTGGGCAACACAAGCAGGATGCTTGGGGATTTGGTTATCAATCGTTGCCTGGCAACTACACACCATCTCTCGTGTCCCCCTCCACCCCTACCCCCCTCACTCTCTTTGTCTCTCCTATCCCCAGCTCCCCCCCTCCTCTCTGTACTGCACTGTGGTCAACCCCCCCCCCCACTTAGTTTTTCCACCATGCTCATCTCTTAACTCGGCGCTGCATCACCCTGTCCACATTCTTTCTCACCACACATCTTTCTCACACTCATTTACCCACCCAGCAGATGAACAGATGCACCTGCTGATGGGATGGAGAAAAGTAAGGGAACGGTGAGAACTGGAGAGGAGGCTTGGAGTGGAGGCGGATAATAGCAAAGAGCAGGATAGAGAGGATGGAGAGGTGGAGGCCTCCTCAATGCACTTCCCCATTCAGTATTTTTTAAATTAAATTGGAACATCTCATGCTACAAAAGGACGACGCGTCAGCGCTGCTAGAAATAGACATGGGTAAAAGAGTAAAATAAAAAGCAGTACAGGCAGTGTTTGTTTGTCTAAAGCCTGAGACACACGCCAGACCAATATTACAAGGTAAACCTTGGTTTGTTGAATGTTCCTGCATAAGTTACCAAACAATGTAAAGATAATTGTTTCTAAATAATGGAACCTAAATAAATAAGCACACCATATCATTTGTAACTATTAGGCTTTAATATTGTCTTTCCGTCTGCAGAAGAGAAAACCACCTGTAGACCTCATTGGTTAAGTGTAAAACCACGAATTGTTATAGAGCAATTATATTGTTTTGTTTAAATATAGGTTATTTGATACTGCCACCTAGTGGTAATGCATTAGGATTACAAGAACTGGTCGATTAAAGAATGATCATTTTCAAATCAAATTTAAGAATATCAACAGTGATTCATTCTGTGGCTACTTCACGTGACTTTTAACTCCTTCTTGCTGATTTTACTATTCTAGTTATATTAAAGCTTATGTGCTAAAACCACAGAATTGTTCATGTCAATTTGTCTGTGAGTATCCTGATG